ATCCTAGAGCCAAGTCAAAGCTAAGGCATCAAGGATACAGAATTTAACACTTGCAAGAGACAAGAATTTAGAATACCTCATATAGGTATCTTCTAATAACCATCACCCCTCCTAAAGAGGTGTCCATATGAACAAAATCAGAAATCAAGAAGATCAACAGGTATACTGCAACAAGAACTAGCAGAATATTCAGGATCTGAGCAAGAGCAGTATACAAAATTTGAGCAAGAGCAAGAGTCAAGAGTCAAGACAAGAATGGTTTTCAAGGACAATTCAAAACAAATTCCAAGAATAGTGCAATAATTAATTTCAGACAAGTATCAAGATAATGAGGATTCCAATCATCATTATCCATTTCCTGGATTTCAATTTCAAGAACAAGTACAAAGCAATCTCAAGAAGGATTCAAGATGGATTTCAAGAGTTTTAAGCAATTTCAGGTATCAAGAATGTAGAGATTGGCAACAATAGAGAGTTTAACTTTATGACAACTTGCCAATCTTCACAAAAATAAGGCAATTACAGTGGAATGATCACTGCTTTTGATTAACCAATATAGAAAAATGAGCCACATGAAAAGACCACGAAGTTCCAAGTGGAAAAAGTGAAACTTCACTACAAGACTTACAGAAAGATAAGGAGCAACTGAATTACCAAGTTATCCGGCTCCTAAAACACATCTAGAAAAACACACAACATTGGCTAAAATAGCCTTGAATCTCTTGCAAAGTAGAGGGTTGCCCATCCTCCACTGGTCATGTGACAAACAGAGCAAATTTCTCAACCAGCTATGCTGTAGAGACAAACAGAGTCAATAACAAAAGATCTCTACAACTCCCCAGATTTCACAATAGTGGCAAAAGAGCATACAAAAATTCTATTCACGTAACAAGTCTAAACAAGTGCAGACTATCAGAAAATGACCAAGTTCAAAACAAGGTCTTCAGGACATAACGGGCAAGATTACTTTCACAACTTCACACAGAGTATGAAGGCAAGAAACAAGAACAATCACATTACCATCTCATCGAAATGGATGAGAAAATTCAGGCAACATGAATCAGAATTGTCCCTTATATACCCCATCACTCATCTCACCACGAGTCTAAAATCCACTAGCTAGCCAAGTTCCAAAACAAATCCTAGGTATTCAATTAAACCTAGGCTCGGATATCACTAAATCTGCTCTGATGCCACTCAATCTGGAGGTACTTAATTTAATCTTCAGCTCTTAATTTCAACCTAAGCTCTTATACCACTCAATCCCCAGATATCTAATTTAACCTAAGCTCTGATACTACTAAATCTGTCACGCCCCAGAACCCAAATTCGGGGACGTGGCAGACGCCGTGCACTCGTGAGACGAGTCCCACAAGTGCACAAGGCTCGGA